AGCATGAGGGCTGAGCTGGAGTACGGGCTGAAGAGGGAGGCGCAAGGCCAGGCCACGGTGAAGATGCTGCCCACGTACGTGTGCGGGATGCCGGATGGGACAGGTGAGGCTGGCTCCTCAGCGCCTGGAGGTGCTCAGGAAAGCGGCTTGTCTGTTTTTGGTGGGGAGGAGTATGCTAATTAATCTGGCACATCCCAGGGGATTATGTTGTCAAACTGGTGCTTCCTGCTGTGTTATCTGTTATCTTCAGCCCCATGCTCAATGGGATAAATGCCATAGGGAGCAGCATGCTGTCATTGGTATGCTGTTCTGACTGGCAAACGTGCTAGGAGAAGCACCAAAATGAAATGCCTGTCTTTTCCTTCAGAGAAAGGAAAGTTCCTTGCCCTTGACCTTGGTGGCACAAATTTCAGGGTTCTGCTGGTCAAAATCAAAAGCGGGAGAAGAAGATCAGTGCAAATGTACAACAAAATTTTTGCCATTCCTTTGGAGATCATGCAAGGGACAGGAGAAGAGGTAATCTGAAATGAATGTTTTACTGAATCAGCCAAGCCCCATTATATGGGATTACTTATGAGATTTTTATGCCTCTCCTTTCCTTCCAGCTCTTTGACCATATTGTCCAGTGCATAGCAGACTTTCTGGATTATATGGGGATTAAAGGTGCTCGGCTTCCTCTGGGCTTCACCTTCTCCTTCCCCTGCAGGCAAACCAGCATTGACAAGGTAAGAGCTGCAGCAGCTCTGCATCTGCCTGGTGAATGACATCATTTTGGGCAAGGCTGACTTGTTGGTCTGGAGAATTTATTACTTTGCTTTGCAAATCAGTTGTGTTTCATGAGAAAATTATCGTCCTGTGTTATCCACCTGCCTAGGGGAGGCAGAGCTTTCACTTTTTGTCTCTGGTAAGTGATGGACATGAACTTGCTTTTGTTTTTTAAAGATTTAGCCCTCATGACAGCAAAATGAAGTGCATGTTTTTAATAACCCAGGAACCTCCTTATGCTGCCTTAACTCCTCAATGGCAAAATATAACAAATGGCTCCTTGTGCTTGCTCAGCTACAGTCCCAGGTTGTTTTCCAGCCTGTGCTGCACAGCTCTGAATGTGCAACTTCTGCACCACATTAGCTTCTTTCTGCTGAGTGCCAGTGGACAGACCTGAGCTTACTTGCTCAGCTTGGAAGAGTTGGCTTTTTGACAGATATCATATCTTTTATCTTATCTGAAAAGATTTATGGATTTCCAAGAGGGGCAGGGGATGTTGTGCTGCTTAGTTCTAGTCAAATATGTAAGATATTGGGGAAATGAGAGACTGCTATTTTATTGAATGTTTTAATGTCCTGGTGGGGTTCACAGTAGCTTCTAAAGCTGGAAGTTAGTCTGCTCTGTCTCAATTTTCAGCTCACTGTTGAGAGTACAGCAACAGGACTTGGCCTTTTGTGGAAACATGAATTCATGTGCCTTCTAAACCCACAGCTTAGCCTTTTGGTCTTGACAAATGGTTAGGAAGCAAATTCTAGGGTATTGATGGCAAACTGAGTGAGCCACATCTGTGTCCCACGATATGTTGCTCTGTGTGTTTGGTCTTCTGCTGTTGCTAGAACTTGAGGGTGTTTCTTAATATCAGCTTTTTCTCCCAGTTTTCTTCTATGGTTTTTTTTTTTTCCCCCCTTTGGACAGACAGTCCAGAGCCACTTAGGAAGTGCAAAGCTATTACTTCATGTAACCTGGAAAACAACTTTTGTCAGGCCAGGTTGTTGTCTGAAAAGAAACAAATTAGTGTTGCCTGGAGTTGTGGGATCATACCAAATGTCCTTCAGGAAACAACCCAAAATTTCACAGTAGATTAATTAATGTTTGATGGGTGATTGATGATTTACAACAAAAGTATTGTCCAAATGAGTTTTAGAAGGTACTGAGGCACTGAAGGTACTTTTTGCCTTGACAAAAAGCTGATTAAACTTGGAGCCACTTCCATCAGCAGTGGAGTAACAAAGACACATGAGCACAGCCTGCACCAGACACCCACAGTAACCTGTCCAGGGAAATATGTCATTTGGGGGAAATAAAAAAAGCCTTGAGGTGGGAGGCAAGAAAAAGCTGATGCTTGCAATGTACAGTCTGCTCTTTGTCTCCACTCACGACTTTCTTTCTCTATTGTTTCAGGGAACACTTGTGGGATGGACAAAAGGATTCAAGGCGACAGACTGTGAGGGGGAAGATGTTGTTGATATGCTGAGAGAGGCCATCAGGAGAAGAAATGTGAGCTGGTTTTTCCTGCTCATTTTGGTGTATTTAAAGCACTCTCACTCTGGCATTCCATACTGATTGTGGCTTGTGTTTCAGGAGTTTGACCTGGACATCGTAGCCGTGGTGAATGACACTGTGGGGACCATGATGACCTGTGGCTATGAGGACCCAAACTGTGAGATTGGCCTTATTGCAGGTACAGTGGTGGCCAAGTGGCCACTGAGAGAAGGAAGCACCTACGTAGAGCTGGGCTTTGGCATCTCTAAACCAGCACCTTTTATTTGAGTTTGTTATATTAGAATATATATATATTAGTATATATATTTATATATTAGTATATATATTTATATATTAGTATATATTGATATATTAGTGTATATATTGATATATTAGTGTATATATTGATATACTAGTGTGTATATTGATATACTAGGATATATATTGATATATTAGTGTATATATATTGATATACCAGCATGTATATTGATATACTAGCGTGTATATGGATATACTAGTGTGTATATTGATGTACTAGTATATATATTGATATGTTAATATATATATATTGATATATTAGTGTATATATTGATATACTAGGATATATATTGATATATTACTGTACATATATTGATATATTAGTGTATATATTGATATATTAGTGTATATATTGATATACTAGTATATATATTGATATACTAGTGTCTATATTGATATACTAGGATATATATTGATATATTAGTGTATATATTGATATACTACTGTATATATTGATAAACTACTGTATATATTTATATATTAGTGTATATATTGATATACTAGTGTATATGTTGATATACTAGTATATATACTGATATACTAGCATATATATTGATATACTAGCATATATATTGATATATTAGTGTATATATTGATACACTAGTATATATATGGATATATTAGTTGCTTGGAGTTGTTGGCAGATTTGTGTGGTGCTCAGCAGGAAACTTAACCACATCTGCAGCAGATAAGTTCCTGAACATGTTGGATTTTTGATCATCTCTCTGGTGGTGCCTAACAAGTGTATGCAGGATGAAAGAACACAAGCAGATAGAGCATGAATTCTTGTTTTGACAAGTTACTGTGCAGCCAGGTCACAGACCATGGGGCAAGCAAATGTTTTTAAAAATCTGAATGAATTCTTGTTGGGCTTTTTAGACAATACGATTCCCCCAATAGGTTCCTCCAAGTTTTGATCCAGAAATATGTCTAAGCATAGAATCATAAAATGGTCTTGAAATTTGAGATGAGGCAAAGA